CTGTTGGCCAATAGGAGAGGAGCTGACCCAAGAAGCTCCGCCCACCTTATTTACAAAATGAGGCAGAAACGCATCAAGTAAAGTAGAAGACTTGAGAGAAAAATTATTAAAAAAATTAAATATAATCTTTTAAGATAAACAAATGCATCTACAAGTAAAAAGAATAACAAAAAATATATCTTCAAAAATTAAATGTAAATTATGTGCTAAAATATATAATTTACTGGAACTAAACTGGAAAAATAAATATGAAGGTCGAATAAATGATAAAACATGAGGTAAAGTTCTCCTTTTTTAATGTAGCTGGTGCATTTTAAGTGTGTTTATTTATTCCATTTACATATTTCTGCTTTTATTTCTAATTGTGACAGTTTCGGTCCTCCATACTGTCAATTCAACAGCTGAATTTAAAAAGAACAATTCATCAGACAACCAGTTTTTTTGGTTTATGTTGAACACTTTTTTAAAATGCCTGTGGACACATGTAGAACACATTTAAATATTGTTTGTTAACCGAGAATGTTCTTCAATATATTCTGTTTAAGTGCACAAGTCCTTCTAAGGGCTGTTAAATATGTGCTTACAAAAGTTATGTAATTATTGTCAGGTAAATGAAAAAAATATATTAGTGTAATGAGTCGGCCATCAGCTGCCCTGAATCCTAAAGATCGGCATCAATACCAGCCTTAGAAAATCTGATATCAGTCTGTCTATTGTCCTCAAGACCTGCAGAAGTTAATTTAATTTACGTATCTGTTTCTTTTCAGCACTCTGACTGAAGCTCAAACTATCAGGCAGAAGAATTAACTAGAGTCAAAGAAGAAAACTTATCAGATGGCAGATTGTTAAATTATTCAAAGCTTTCACTTCCTGAAACAGAAACAAACATCTGAGCAGCAGAACTGAGTCTCAGCAGGAAAGTCATGCTGAAGTCAGCAAAGTCTGGATGAGCTGTCAAAACTGAGTCCAGACCACAGAGAGGCCTGATGTGAGCAGATAAGAGGATGTGTTCTCATTCCTTTTTAAGTGCTTTTGTTTTTACTGCAGTTTTATATTCACAACTGTCCTCGTTCTGTAACTAATTAACAGATAAACAACAGGCAGTTATCTTCTATACAATAAAAAAAACAACAACAAAAGGGGATTCAGCAACTCCTGACAGGTGCACTTTGAGCCCAGATAGTTATCACAGACTTTGATGATTAAAAGTTTTAAAAAGATCTCATCAAATGCAAAAGACTCCAGAATATTTACACTTACAAATGGGGAGTAAGGTTCTCCGGTGTCTGTGATCCCCCCTGCCATGGTTAGTGTTCGGGGTCTTTACCTGAAGGAAGGAGAAAAATCTGTGTTCAGCTTCACTGCAGAGAAATGTTCTATTCTTCTCAAAAAATGATATTTTCTCTGTTATTAATGCTCAGTTTGGTGCCAGAGTGTGTTAGAAATCTTTCTACTTTCTGATGCTAAATTAATTTATGTCAACAAGCTTCATCTGAAATGAACTAATATTAAACTGGAAAGAGTCAGATCCTTGTAATAAAAGATGAATAGAGTGAGGACATCATGTATTCTAAAACGTCTTAAGTTGTTCACTCTAGTTTATTAAGCTGCTTCACAGTTTGCTTCAGATAAACTCAATAAATTAGTTTCATGTAGCTCAAATTTATAATTTAGTACTCGTAATAAAGCACATCATTGTAATTGCGTTAATTATCTGTGTGCAACCGTGAAAGAATTTACTCATTAATAAGAAAAAAGAAAAACTTTGGTGCATTTTATAGCATTTTCTTTTCAAAATGTATTAAAAAATAAAGAAAGAAGCAAACTTGAGCTGTCGTGCATGATTTTGACTATAGGTTCTTGAATTTTTTTGTTTTTGGATTGAAGTTATTTTATAAGTTGTACTAAAACTACACTGCCACGACTGTCAGAAAGGAAACATCAGCCTTATTCTCAATGTACAGAATTGCAAGTTAAAACTGTAGTCAAAGCTTGCTCTTTAAGTGAAGGTGAAACRCTGAGAAAACCATTCATGCATCATTTATCGAGTCTAAAACGCTGCAGCCAGACTCCTGACGGGAAACATTGTTTAATGGATCTGAGCACCAATACTCTGAGTTGTTTACTGTTTAGCAAAAAACTAATAATAATCCTGGTGATTACATCAAACAGATTATTTCTCAGACTGATTTACCTGATGGCTCCACTGGAGCTTTTAGTTTTTCCTTACATCCTAATTTGAATCCTGGCTGCTTAAATAATCAGCCCAATTGGTCCTTTTTATTGTCATTTAAAATACAAATCTTTTGCTCAATATTTTGAGATTTGTCCTGTTTTATTTATTTGTGTTGATTTGCTGAGTCTCAGTGATCAATATGTCTTAGTTGCTCCTTTATTTGGTTTAAACTCAAACTATTCTAGTTGTTTACATTTTCCTTTTTGTCTAAATAAAAATTTGTTTATTATTATTGGTTCCAGATAGATTAATAAAGACTATACGAAAGCAACAACTCCCTTTCATTTATGACAGCTTCAGAGTGATTCTCCACTTTGTTTAAACTCAATAATTGTTGTTGTTTACACACCTGAGATTTACCTGCTGAACACATCCCAGGACGAACCGCCAAACAACACTACAACAACTTCATACGTTTTACTGTAACATTTTCCGATCAAATACAAAGCTTTTTAGGGCATTGAAGCTGTCAGCACAGACTCAAGAGTACAACTCACCTTCCTTCTGCCCAGTCTTCTTGGTATTAGCCGCTACGCTAATAGGATGCTGCAGCTAAATGGATCCGTCCGGGTCAAACAAACGTAACACAGTTAGCATTAGCTAGCATGGGCTGAAACGATGGGAAGGAGTCGGGGAAAAGAATAAAATAATAATAATAAAAAATACATACACATTTTCTCACGGACTGCTAAAGCACAACTCAGCCTAAGCGATCAGCTGATCAGCAGCTTCCGCATGACGGCTTGTACAACTTAAACTTCCGGTGTACGCTTTCAGAATAAAAGCACTGCGAAAGGGGCTTCAGCGCAGCAGCAGCTTAAATAAAAATGTTAAGAAATTCAGAGAAGACTGTAACACTGACTAAACAAGAAAAAAACAAAAAGCAGTGACACTTTTATACGTGACTCTCATGTTTTATCTTTGTTTGCATGTTTGCATTTGCAGCCAGGGCAGACCCTTTAYGGGTCAGGGGTCAATTGAACTAAACACGTTTGATTAAGGTTAAATTTAATTAACAACAGTTGTATAAAATCACATATTTAAATCATGACTGTTTTTTCCTGTAATTTATATTTTTCTGCACAGTAGATTCCCTTATTTTTCATTTTCATCCAATTACAGCCCGTTACAGTAATGATTATTCTTACCTTTATTTTGATCTATGTTTAATTTTTATTGTTACTATCTTTAATTCTATTATAAATGCTAAAATTGATAATGTCACATAGAGATATATTGTTTCTGTGGACTGATGTAGCAATGTATCGGCTGCTGCTACTACACCTGAATTATTATTCTATTCTATTCTATTCTATTCTATTCTATTCTATTCTATTCTATTCTATTCTATTCTATTCTATTCTATTCTATTCTAAAGATAGATAAACATACTGCAAACTTACTACCAACATTTAAGCAAAATAAAAGTACAATTGAATTAGTGAAGTTTGTAGTTTATGAGTTCTTAATTATTAAACAAAAGAAAGATAAGGARAGAGGCTTTTATTTCTTGTGACTTAATCACATCTTGAGTGGTTAAAGTCACATGAGTATCACCTCTGTTCTAATCAAAAAAACTGTGATACCAGAGATCAAGCAAAGACGCATTTGAAAAGACTGCATGTCTTTGTTATCAGAGGTCAGAGGTCAGGCGATTAAAATAACTATTCATTCACCTGAGGAGGCCCAACATGTGCCACACGCCGTTCAAATTTGGGATTTTATTCTAATTTTGAGGAAACCATTTTAAATCTGAATRTGAGTATGAAAAAAACTGAAACTCTAATAAAAATATCCTATTATTTTTGCTTTGCATATAAAATATTTGATTAATTAATAGTTTGATTTGAAGCTCGGTTGTTTCTGTGTTATTGTTCAGTTGGGAATATTTGATTAAACACACAAAGCTCAGAGACTTTTCAGCAGAACGCACGGCGAGTTCTTCATATTGTTTCTCGGAAACATGTCTTCCTGATGCAGCCGCCGCTCATCCAGACGCACAGTCAACTCTTCCTGACGATTTTTAAATTAAAAGTCTGTTTTTCAGACTGACCGCAGGTTGTTTGAGCTCTGTGTGTACACTGGAGTGCTTTCCTCTGCAGCTGCAGGGGAACAATTGAAAGGTTCGGCTGATCTGTTTCAGAAAACTCAGCCAGAACGAGAACAAAGATGCTGCTCCACAGTTTGACAGAACAATTAAACTCATCAATTAATTCCTTATTTGCACCTGGCTGTTGCTGTAAGCGGCTCTGCCGTTTATAAAGGASCAATTCAGTTCAACCGAAGGCACACAGCCATGGCCGCCCTGAAGACTCTCACRTTTCTTGCTTTAATTGGTGAGTTATTGCTCTAAATTAAAACGAGCTTGCCGTAAATAATCATATTTATTGTTAGAGAGATGATTGTTTTAGGGTTTATTTCACAGCAGGTGTTTCCAGTCAGACTTCTTCAGACTGCTCTTACTACGACCTCCTGAACCACCTGAACCTGACTTCATCAAACACCTTTCTGGAAATCACGCGTCCTGTGAAGAACTGGACCAGCACCACGCTCGTCCAGATGGACATGCTGCTGTACAGCATTTTGGACGTGGTAGGTGTCCTCACCGTCTCTGTCTGTGGTTAAGCTTTTTATTGCCTCACTGACACAAACATGGGCAAGATGAAAACAATTGCAGTGCCTTTTTRTATCAACTTCAGCAAAACTTAATTACTGATGCAAAACGTTTCCAGGTTTTTAGGATTTACTGATCTAACACTAAAGAAATGTTGCAGACAGAATCATAATTTKAATTCTGTTTCCTTTTGTTGTATAAAATCCTGAAGACATCTGTCTCCAAACCTTCTAAAAAAAGGTCTTTTTCTTTTTGACTTCCTCTCTTGAAGTGCATCAGCTGGTTGAATAATTATCATTTTCCTCCTGCAGGATGAAAAGATTCAAACTGTCACCTGTCACATCCAGATCAACATGGTGAGAAAAACAAATCCTTTTGTTTAGTTTAGGCATTTTTGATATATTTTTAAATCTTTCTTTTCTTTTTGAAGTATTGGACGAATGAGTTTCTGTCCTGGAAGCCCTCAGAGTTCTGTGGGATCGACATGGTGACTCTTCCCAGGTCGATGCTTTGGATCCCAGATATAGTCATCAGAGAGGAGTGAGCGTCTAACAC